AGATATTAATAGTATAAATTACGCATTAAAATTTTAAAAAGCACCCTTCTGATTATTTCAAATAATTCGATGTCTATTAAAAATTAAGTAAACTTTGTAAGGGAATACTGAATAACAATTTCATATAAGGAGTTATAAAGCATTTCTCAGAATTCTCAAAATTTATTTTTATAAAAAAAATAATGAAGGAATAGTTAAACTTTACCGAGGATCTGACAAACTGCTTGCAAGTTCAACTGTGATTTCTGTGATATGCGAACAGCAAAACACATGTTCGTGCTCCATAACCACTTAACATTCTTAGTTCTATTAAATAACCAGCGATAAAAATAATAATAGTAATTTTTAAACATAAGTTGAGCATTTCTAATTAAAAAAATGCTTTATTTAAACTTTTATATAATAAACAATCATAGAAAAATTTAGCGTTCAAAATTCTTCGCAAATCTAATGCCCTTAAAGTATTATAGTATATTTTTGTTTTAATAGCATTTATTTTAAAATTAAAATTTTAATGATATCTAATAATTACATACACTGTAAAAAACTGATAAATTGAAATTTGTTAAAAAATGGGAAATGAAAACAATATTGTGAGAAAAAAAATGTCAGTGTCTAATTAAATTTTTCATTAAACTTTGTCTTAATTTAATTAAATTCTGAATATATTTCTCTCCCTATCTACTATATAGAGCCCTCCTCCTATTAAAATTATGTCCTTTCTGAGAATATTTGATTTTATAAAGCGGCTGATTGCATAAACCAAAATATCTACTCTTAGTTTAAAAAAAAAATGTAGCTAAATTAAACTTATAATATATAATAAAAGCATTCATTCTACATTCATATTTTATTTTTACTACCAAAAATTGACATTTTAACTAAACATGAATTACAATTTTTTTAATTTACAGAATGGTTTTAAATTATTAGCATGCTTGTTTAATTAATCATTCAATAACTTTTCTTAATTCATGAGCAGTTTTTATTTGGATTCCTCTATACTTCCTGATAAATAATTCTTTTAACTCTGAATTTTAAATTTTCTTAATTAATGTAATTTACACCTATTAATTTGTTCTTTTTGTTCACTAAGGGTGGTCGAATGAAATTTGCTATTTATATTTGCTTTCAAAGCTTAAAAAAATAAAAAAAACTCTAATTATTCTGAGAAGAAAACGCAGAGTACTTCCTTTTTTTTAATGTATGAACAACAAAAACTTGATTTCACAAAAACGGCAATAATGATTTTATAAAAGGATAGTTTTGGTATTTTTGATATTGTATTAAGTCCTCTCTTGCAGCTCTCTGACTTTAAAAACGCGGTTTAATTTTTTCCTGCGATTTTATTAGTGATGGTTACTCTACCAAGATAATATTAAACTTGTCAAGTTTTCAGTCAATGATTGGTGACGCCATCTTCTGGCATCTTTAACGATTATTTAATTCGCACGCAATATAAATAAATTTACACAAATAAAAAAATTATACTCGTGTGATTTTAATGGCTCATCTAAAGCGTATAAACTGCGTGTTCTTATTTCATTGAAACAATTTTTTTTAATCGTTAGCAACAGGTATGCTTGATTAGAGTCATTTACTGAAAAAGGATGTTTTGTTTTCAAGTTTTTAACATTTACTGTTTTAAATTTAAGAATTTCTAATTAAAAAATAAAAATAAACGTTTATATAAAAATAGTAAGTTTAGGCAGTCCATATATTTATTTGGTCCGATTATTTTAATAAGACAAATACATAATGCTTTAGTATATAGAATACGCAAAATATAAAAACTGAATTACTTTTGATCTAATGATCAGATCTTCATATTCTAGGAAGTAATCTTAAGATTGCGTCCTAGTATACTGGAGTCCTGGTTCGAGGGGATGACCTCATATATGCAAATTAATTAGTTCAGACGATATTTTAAGTAACGAAATCTGGCGCAAAAACGCACCGCACCTTCTCTGAATAAAAATATCTTTTTTTTCGATGGATTTGGTATCTGAGCCCTAAAGTATAGGCGGTAGCCATAATCGGGGAAATATGGTCCATATAGTTTGGCCAAGAGAGAAGTCTAATGTTTGAGTCCCTTAATGTTAATATTACTTTATGCGCATTTCACCATGTCTCGAGAACTTTCCCCGCGAATTGAAAAATTTTTGCATACAATTATAAAATTCGCTTATCCTAAGATAATTCCATGCAAAATATTACTTTCAGCAATAATTTTTTTTTGAAATTCTATTCAATAAGAGTAGAAAAAATTTAATTGTAAGATATACAAATTTTTACAAATGTAAAGTTTGAGCGAAATCAGTCGAAAAGTCCCTGAGAAATCGAATTTTGAAAACATGACTTTTTTAAAATTCGATTTCTCAGAAACTATTCGACCAATTTTGATACATTTTTTGTATTACCATTTAAAATTGCATTCTTTCTAATGATGTAAAAATTTTAACACCTCACAATTCAAATTTTTTCCAACTATTATTAAATTAAGTAGCGAAAAATAATAAATAAATAAAGTCATATTTTTCATGGAATTATCGTTTGATAAACGAATCTTATGATTCTGTGCAAAATTTTTTTAATTCGCTGAAAAGGTTCTCGAGATATGATGAAATAAACAAAAAGTGAAATGAACATTAAGGGGTCCACACATTGGAGCAATCTCCTGGCCAAACTATTAGGACCATATTTCCCAGATTGCTGCTCCCGTCTGTGCGTTAGGAGTCAAAAATCTGAATCCGCTGAAAAAAGGATACGTTTATTCAGAGAAGGTACAGTTTTGTGTCTGATTTTGTAACTTAAAATATCGTTTGCACTAATTAATTAGCATGTTTGACATCACCCCCTTGAACTTTCAAAAATGAATGCTAGAACGTGAAGAACATTAGATCAAAAGTTATTTAGGATGGTCCGTTAATTTTTTTGCACACTGTACGTATTATAGCGCCAAGCTTATGGGACTTACAGAGTGTGGCAGTCGTTCAACAATAATACCCAACAGTCTGTCAAACAGATTTTGATGTTTTAGTTCGCCCTTCCTCGGTAGTGATTAGTTTGATTTCGATAGCGTTTTTATCTGGTTTAAATATTAATTTAAGGCACCTAATTTGTATACTTTTTAAGGATTCTAAATATATTCTTTAAAATCTGTCATATTTCACCCTGGTCATGGTTTTTACTCTCTACATTTTGTTACAATGTTCCTTAAAGGCAGCTTTTATGTTTGTTTAAAATCATTGTACGAAATAAAAAAAAAAAAAAATAAAAAAAAAGAACATACATACGGGGTTGAATGCTTTTTCGACTAAAAAATAAAAACTCTGTTAAAATATGACACATAGATGTTGAGAAAAAAGGGTGTAAAAAACTTTAAAACCTGCTTGAATGCCGGAAAACAGAGAGGTATTGAAGAACAAGTTTGAAAAATTCTTCGATATCAACCTATAATCAAACAAGGTCTTTTTTGTAACCGACTTTATTGATAGTAATTAGTCATATTTTGATAGCGTTTTTGCTTTTTCCTAGTATAAATATTTGTTACCTTTACAGTATTACAGTACATTTTTGCTAATGATGATTTCGTAAATAATTAAATCATTAATATAAGCTATGCTTTTAAATTGCCTGGAGCTGGCAAATTAAAAGCATAGTATATATATTAATATTCTTATTTTGAACTTTTATGCGTTTTTCCATTGATCTCCAATCTTGTCTTAAATTCCTCGAAAATAATAAATGAATTTTGATTCCTTCGGATGATTTTTATATGTACTTTTATTTTCGAATTTTTGACAGAGGGGTACGGTATCAGGTGTTCTCCACATCGTCTGATCGGGGTCAAAACAGCGGCTAGATGCTTGAACATTGTTGGAAGATGTATCGTGTACTTTTATTTCTATATAACATAGACGTGCGCATAAATTTGGCATGAGGGGTTAGAAAGTCAATTGTTAAGGATTTTAAATCAAATTTTCTTACAATTTATGAACGACACATTCTTTAATAACAGTTGTTGAACCCAGTTTTTGGGTTTACGACTACTATTGTTTAACTCCGTAGACTTGTATTTTGAATTCAATCCAGAAGGTTTTTGAATGCAATCCAGGGAAATTTCTCCCAATACTTGATCCAGGAGTTTCCTGGGTCAAGGTATTGAGAGAAATTTGCCTTCGTGGAGGACTTTTTGATGGAATGAACCCGCAATTGCGCTACATGGAGAGGAAGACCACGAGAACCTCCATCGGTTAGCCTGATGGCAAGAGGACTCTAACTCATGGTCCGTCTACCATTGAGAATATTTTACGTCAGCACTGTGACCGGTGCGAGCCGGATGCGGAATTCGTATCGACCAACCATCACCGGGATTCAAGCCCGGTTCACCTCATTGGAAGGTGAATGTAACATCCCTTTGAAATACCCAGAAATTGTAAGAACCTGTTTAAATATTTTAAGAGGTACTGTTCCATCTGAACTGGAAGACGGGGTATATAACAAAGCGATATTCATTAACAATGGCATAAACAATAATAAGAAATAGTTATTTTTCGATATCCAAATTGGGCATTCTGCCAACTGCAATGGTTCTCCAAAATTGTTATTTCTATGGTTTTATCTGGAATGCAATTACGTGCAATCACAAGTAAATAAAACAATTAACAAAAATACGTTAAGTAGCCCAAATACGTTATAATAATTCCCTATCGGTTTTGTTTTCTTAAATTTAGCATTAACAATTTTCAAAAAATGTAAATTTTCTCTCATACATTCCGAAATTATAACTGTTGGCGAATTTTGTAACTAAGAAATTATCTCAGTTAACCTTTTGTGATAAAAATTTTTTTCCCTCGGTAGAAAACCATGAATCCCTATTTTTTTTCATTTTTTTTTTATAAAAAATTGCTTATTGGGACTCCCGATAAGTATAGGTAAATAGTAACCCAGTGATATTGATATAAAAAATGCGTCTTAGAATAGTAAACACAAATATATTCAAAAACTACTTTTATTTGTATATAATACAATAAAAACCTTAACACCATTTCCATTTTATATCACAGTTCAACAAAATTACTGACAAAAAGCTTCATTTAACATTTAAAATATGTAAAAGTCTTTCATAGGTCGTTGTAAATATAAACAAAGCATAAGAGATCTTGCAAATAGCAGCATCGTTCGTTATATCAATAACAGTGAACCTTGAATCTAAAAAGTTTAAATAACATAAAAATAAATATGTTCACCGAGTCTTTTATAAATATATTCATCGCATGTTAGACAAACTATAGCCTAGAGAAACACTTCAACTAAATATATTACGATGCTTGAATGCTTCTCTTTCGCGAACAGTTCAGAGATCATAATGATGTATAGTAATAAATACAATGAAAATAAATGATAATTAAGCCAATTTTTTTGTCTTAGGCTGCTTTTAGTTAAATAAAATCACATCAATTTCATTGGAAAAATTAATTTAAATACCTCGCGTAACAACTCATAATGATGTAATAATATTTTAAAAAGCAACGTTGTCTCGTTTTACAGTAATAAGATTCGAATTGTGCTGGGTTGCATGTGAATCTAAATGGCTTAAGTATTTGAATCTGATTCCAGCTGAATGTTAAAACCAGTTTCACGTTTTCAGTTCTTTGGTGAAAAACAGTACGTAGGCTTAATTTACTTTTTTAAGTTTCGCTTAAATCTAAATCAGCTACCAATGAGAAATGATCCGATGGGTATTTATAAGAAGGCACACGACCTTCACCAATATCTTCACAAGACGGAAGTTGAAGAAGATTGCTAACTTCAAAAGAATTTCTACTGAAGAATATATAGTCGAGTGTTTGACAATATTCACCATCTTCTCGAATTTTCCAAGTAGTATAAGCTGGTTCAGTTCGCTTATTGTTTAGGTAACGATAGGCACTGTCTAAAGGATTGATGTCGTCGTTGAGAACTATTTTATACACAGGTTCGGCAGGATTGGCGTTGAAGTCACCGGTCAAGATGACTGGACTGTTACCACTAAAAACTTTTATAAAATCCATGAGATCTTTACCTTGCTCACGTCGCATCGTTGCTAACAAAGGCCCTTGTCGAGCTTTCAGATGAGTTGTAGCTATCCAGAACACTTTGTCGTCACTTTTTCTCCTAAAAAAACGAATAACTCAAATAATTAGACTCAATTAACGAATTATTAGACTAAAATAACGAATAACTCAAATAAGTAACGTTGTTTACCTTAGTTTGTATTTTAGCACAAAGGTCGCCCACTTGTGTATTTAATTAGACAGTTAGACGAAAAAAAAAGATCACCGGATAAAAAAATTGTCACTTTAAAAGAAATCATGGAAAGAATAATTTAATACCGTGTAACTCTATGATGTTTTGGAGGTATTTTTCTTATTATGAATTTGACCTGCTTACTAAGATAGCTACAAACATGAACTAGTATGATTAGTTTAACATTCAGGATAATCAAGTATTGTCTTTTAGCCAACATCTTCTTGCGCTATTGATACCTCTATTTTTCAGGAGGACAACAACAAAGCTGATTGCACTAAACAAATATGTGACTGGTGTCATTAAAATTTACTTATTATGTTTCTATTGTCCTGCAAAATCATTTAAATTGAAGTACATGAAGTAGTTGCGAAAGAACATCGGATAAGAAGAGGGAAGCAACAACCTCGTAATTTGGTGGAGTTGTGCGACCAAATCCTCATCAAGCGAATTAAACTGCATGCGATGCCCCTGTAAAAATCTAGTAGACTCCTATCTTAACTTAATCTACGCTGTTACCAAATCCAGAGTTTCATGGTATTAAATTATTATTTTCATGATTTCCTAAGATGTGACTCGCTTTTTCGTCCGGTGAGCTTATTCCTTTATAACACAAGTCATAAATATAACTAAGAAATAATGTCAGTTTTATTTTAAGATCGAAAAATGCCTTTATAATTGCGCTTCTCATGTTCGAATAATTATATATTGTATTTCACGCGTCAAATTTTCCTCTATCGGGGATTTTTAACAGTTTATTTTTCCTTTTAGAAATTGAAATACACTCTATAACAAAAAAATCGACGCACCAAGAACGCACTAAGACGTGCAAAATCGACGCTCGATAAGGCTGGAATGATGCCGACTGGGGACGTATAGTCTTTAGCGACGAATCCCGCTTCCAACTGTGTCCTGACGATCATCGAAGACGTGTTTGGAGACGCACAGGGCAGAGGGGGGATCCTGCCTTCACTATTGCACGCCACACCGGCCCTCAACAAGGCATTATGGTCTGGGGTGCCATTTCCTTTGACAGCCGGACCCCTTTGGTCGTCATTAGAGGTACACTTACTGCACAGCGGTACGTCGACGACATCCTAAGACCTGTTTTGCTACCGTTCCTTTTGCAGCGCCCTGGGCTGGTTTTTCAGCAGGACAATGCCAGACCACATACGGCACGTGTTGCTATGAACTGTCTGCAAGCTTGTCAAGCTCTTCCTTTGCCTGCCAGATCACCAGATCTCTCTCCCATCGAGCATGTCTGGGATGTGATGGGAAGGCGATTGCATCTGGCACGGAATGTTGATAACCTCGTTCGACAATTGGATCGAATTTGACAGGAAATACCACAAGAGACCATCCGGGAGCTTTATCGGTCTATGCCACGCCGTGTGGCAGCTTGTATCCAGGCTAGAGGCGGGTCAACACCTTATTGAACTTGTTACTGTAACTCCGCAATAAATTACTCAATTGTTCTGAAATTTTAATCATTTACTATTCAGTACATTGTTTTCCTATCCACCAATTTTCGCCTTAATCGGACAACTCCTTCTTGGTGCGTCGATTTTTTTTGTTATAGAGTGTAGAATACTCAGTAGAAAAATATGTTCCAATTTTTTTTGTTACATCTTACCCAAATTTTTTTATCACACTTTTTATGGATCACGATGAGAATGGTTTACTAGTTCCTAATAAGTTACAATTCGAGAATTTTTTTACATCAAACTAACTTTTTTCAAGAAACAGAATTTTACTAAAATTTATGCTCTTGAAAAAAAAAGCAACTAGTCTGGGAAATTTTATAAATTAAAAATGGCAGCACACATTTTCCAGTAGCTTTATCAAAGCTCTAAGAAATATTGCGATTTGTTTCCATAAAAAATTTATATATAATATGCAAAATGGAAAAATTTGAAAGTTTGGTTTCGTACCAAAAAACAGCAATTTTGAAAAGTTAAGGCTTTTAGCTTGATAGGCATTTTATATTTTTTTAGGCATATTTTTTTAATCACTTGAACTTATCTGAAATATTTAAAAACTCGTGCTTTAAGGGGAAACCCACATTATAAAACAAAATGCAGAAATAAAAAATGATTTTTTTTCTAAGTATAATTGCTCTTCATGTTTGTCTCACAAAAATAAATCAAAATTAAGCTTACCTACGATTAATTTATAATTTGAACTTTTACTTTTATTCGTAAAATAAAGTTCCTATCCTTGGCTTATTTTTATTTATATAATATCATATAATATATAGCTTTCTAAACATATCTAATGTAAATTTGGGCTTCAACAGTCTAGGATGGTAAGACTCTAGGAAAAATCTTAGGAATTTTAAACCGTGTTTGAAGTGTTAAACAATCTGTGGGTTTGAGCTGTGTTTCGTTTATTTTAACTAAATTCATCACTATAATGTTTATTCATTTAAAAATTAAAACTAAACCACAATTTCTAATATACATTAATTCTACTATTTTTTATGCGAGACACTATTATATTATTCGTAATAATAGCTAATGTTAATTATATATGTAGCTGTTTCCTAAACCTAAACCACAATTTCTAATATACGTTTAATATACACACTAATTTAGTATTTTTTTTATTCCAAACACTATTATATTATACGTTATAATTAACAAAGCTTTGATTTCGTTGATTTCAGGTTTATAAATTAATTATCAGGCTTGAATTTTTGAAATAATACATCACTTGTATTAATCGCAATAAAATTAAAAAATTGAAAAATAATTAATTTTTTTTATGTTTCTTACATGAAGTATGTACGCTGTTAATATACGTTAATATACTTTACCAACAACAGCGTTAATACAGAAAGTTTTTACACAACTTTAACAATTTTTTACATAATAGAGTTTCCCAACTAATAAAACTAAGGTAGACAACTTCCCTGGTATCATTAAATTGGCATAATATTACGTTGATTTGTGGCAAAAGGTGCTTACATATTAAACATAGTTAGTGAGAAATTCTAATTTTCTTGCGATTTTGATTTCTGTTGTAATTTTTAATCAAATTAAAACAATCAACATGTACACTCTTTCTTTCAAAATACGTGATGTGATTTCGCAAACAACGTCGAGTTAACTCAATAAAAAAACGTAGGATAACATCTTTACTTGGTAACCGATAGAGCATTGATGCATTGTTAATAGGCAGGTACAAGAAGCGCAAGACTGAAAAATTTCAGTACAGCCTTGCTTTTAGAAAAATTCAAATTTCCATGACTACCAAGATTCTTTTAACGGTTGAAACATAAACATATGACTGTTATATTGTAAATTGTGATGAAATGTTTATAATTAAAATAATTGGAGTTTAAATTACTTCTCAAGAAAACTAGCTATAAATAATATAGTTCCGCTACCAGATTTTTGTTTCTTTTTCATTTTATTCCGGCCCTGAAGTCAATTCAGTCATCTTAATAGAAAAACGCTAAAGTATATGTTACCTTAATTTGCAAAGGAGAGCAACTTGGTTAGATTGGTATCCCCAAACTTCCAAAGATCTTGTCTTCATATCTAAAAGTTCAAATTTGTCTTCGTTGATAAATATGGCACAGCCATCAGGTCCATTGTTTTCAGCAATGTAAAAACAAGGAGAATCAGGTTTAGGATAGAATACACCCCTAAATCCCAAAGGAGAAAGAGTACTCTTGAAAAATTGGTAATGGTCCACTTCTTGAAAACAGAGAATATCTGGTTGACAAGAAACCATTTCTTCAAGAAGACGCCATCGTCGAGTGCTCCATGATAAAGCATCTAGAGGACAAGCCACAAACTTGTCAGTGTTGATTGCGAGGGCTAAAAAGAATTTTCAAAGATTAAGTGTTTAATATAAGAGTTAAGGTTGATAAGTGTTTTTAAAGTTTTCATTGATAAAATATTGCAAACATGTGTCAAAAATACAATGTACTTTATAATGTTCAGGTTGGTTGTTCGATCAGTCATTCAAATGACTGATTTAGTTTCAAATCATTTATACCGAGTACAAGCAGTGATTTGAATAAACTTAACAAAATATGTTATTAGAAATCATGATTCGAATCACTTCTCCAAATGAGAGTTGAATCTTCAATTAAAATAATAATTTATTTTAATTTATAAATAATTAGTTTAATTATTATCTTCATTAAAATTATAATTAATAACTAATCTTCAACTAAAATAATAATAATTAAATTATCTAGTAAAAAATAAGGTAATACTTTGTACTATGTAGACTAAATCAAAAAACAACGAGAATAAAGCACTAATGAAAGTACATAAATTGACAATCTATGGTTTCAGTTCTATAAACAAGAAACTTCCTCGGTGTCTGAACGTCGAATGACGTTTTCACTTTTTTTTCCGCTTTAATAATTCAATTAGATTCAAATCTAATGTATCAAACCATTAATTCAAATGTATTAAAATATTAATTTGAATAACTGATTTAAATGAATTGATTCCGAATAACTTGATTCGAATAGTTTATTTTAGCTTGCTTGCTTTATTCAAACTACCGTTGATGATTCACTTTCCAAATTCTATTCTATGTTATTCATCAACTTGATAAACTGATTGTCTTGTATCGTTGTAGGATGACCATTTCTGCTTTGTATCCTACTACGTCTTTCTAAGATAGCTTACGCAGTAGGCGTCATTCTCCCACAATCTGTGTGTTTATAGATTATCAAACGGGATCTTGAACTCAAAAATGAATTACTTTAAGGAGTAGAGTGTACTTGACTGACGTCAAAAGTTTAAAAATCTTTCACTAAGAAGCACGTTTCTGACGTCATTTCTACGCTTTTTTTACTGACGAAGCTTATCACTATATCTTGTAATATCCTTAAAAAAGCATTTAAGAATTCTTATAATAAGCTTTATTTTTTTTAAAAATTTTGTTGTCTTTGCCATTTAAAAAAGATACTAAATACAAATAAAATTCCTAAAAAAATTAAATGCTAAAAAAAAGACCATTGTCATTAAAAATTAAAAACAATACTTATAAACAAATAGTTCAGACACAGAATTCAAAATTAATTTCTCGGTTTTTATGTAGAGATATTTCCTGATATATCCTACTGAATATATAAGTAATTAAAACACATAAAACAGAAAAACCGCAAAGTTAAACACATAAAACAAGAAAAATATCGTATCAAAAATATTTTTTGGCTTAGAAAAATTAGTATTGTAAAAATTGAGAGCAAGAATGAGATTTCCGTCCTATACATAGAAAAGACAGGAGTTTTTTTAGAATGAAAATACTTTAAGCAAATAGATTTTTTTAATATAATATCTTAAATATATTTAATCAAAATTATACAATAAATTTCAAGCACTGTTCTTTTGGCTATCATGACCTTTTTATTTTCTACCAAGGAGTATATTGTAGCAAAAGAAATTGATTCAATAGTTACAGAATAAACACAAAAAATAAAAAGCTGCATTATATTATCAGATAGTGAATATTTACTCTAGTAGCTTTTGACTCGTTATAGCAGCAAGAACAAATAGATAGTTTAGTAGTTGATAACCCTGCTAATGTAAGTCACTTAAAAATTTTATAAGAATCTACATTGAAGACAATCCATAAGAAGTCAACATTGGGTCCGTTTAAAGACAATTGATTACATCGATTATTCGCAAACATCAACATCCTATAAGGTTTTAGCTCTTTTTCTGATTTAGTAGTTTGCACAGTTGAACAAAACTATGAACTTGATTTAGTCAGTTGGCATTAAGAGTTGAGAAAAAAAGCTAAAGTAAGTTGAATTCAGCTTTATTACAGTACACATCAGGCAATATCGATTTCAATATAAATGACAGTTTAAAACTTAAAAATTATGCTTCTAGCAATGGTGATATCAAGCACCTTTTCAGATATTTATCTTTCGTTTTCCATAAATAATGCAATGCAATATGCAATTTTAATGAAAGATTCAAGGATTATAAAAATTCGGAGTCAAATGCATAAGATATTAAATTAAATATTTGCATTAAAACCTTTTTAAATATTATATTGTGAAGAATTTCGAAAATACCTGCAAGCCTGCTGGGAAAAACCAAGCGAGTTTTAAGGCAGAGGGTGCGTTTCTTGTTTTTATGGGGCGCCATCTATGCCAAGAATACGACTTCACCATACGGCTATGCCAAGAATACCACTTCGATTTTGCGGACCTATTCATACATCCATTCATTCATCCACAGATCGTAATTTTGACCTGCCAGAGAACGACCAATCTCCAATTCAGTACTCCCAGAGTAGTGATTCGTTAAGAAAACATGGAGTATTTTGTGATCCGACAGATTTAACGCGAATCAGTCACCATTTACTAAACGGGAATCTTCGACTGGAATCGNTACATTTGTATGTAATTAAGGTGTCCACTTACATATTCGGTTAATAATTTTTATTTGTTTAAACAAAATTACTATGTTACAATATAATATTCTAACACCAAAAAAAATACTTACGTAGCGTGAAAACATCTTTCGTGATATAACTCTTTCAAAAGTACATAAAAATGGTTGCCAGCAGGGGTGTACATGTAGATTTATTAAATACACCTAGTGCGCCACGTAGAAATCGAATCTAGAACCCGACACTCGAAATATTTGCTCTGTTACAATCGTACCCTGTTACAATTGACCCCACTCTCCCCTACTCCCAGAGTAGTGATTCGTTAAGAAAACATGGTGTATTTTGTGATCCGACAGATTTACCGCGAATCAGTCACCATTTACTAAACGGGAATCTTCGACTGGAATCGAACTCACGATCACTTGGACATTGGCCCAAAGCCATATTAACCAGGCTATACCGGCCCTTACACATAATCTAGTCTCATTAAATTAACTGAGTTTAAACGAAAAAAATTAATATTAAAACTCAGTTTTTTCCTCCAAAAATTGTTCAGGTATGAAATAATAAAATCTTAATAGAAATAACCAAGTTTAATAAAGATACTTGTAAGGAACTAAATTGCATGGTTAGAAATACTAAATCTGAAAATCTTGTTCATTTTTTAAATACAATCAATATGTACAAAATATTCTATGCTATTGTTCAGAATGAGAGAAGTTGAATATTTCAGATTTATAACAAATCGTAGTGCTTGACAGATGTTAACTTTCTTTAATGTAAATATATATTACGTGTCTTTATTTTATAAGGAACTCACAATGAAATTTTAACTATAATTAACTTATATACAAAATATGGTATCATATAACAAAAAAGTTGACAAAAATCACAATCAGGGAGAAAATAGTCTCCTTTATTATTGTTCAGGATAAGAGATGTTGAATATTTGAGATTTATGCCAAATCGTAATATTTTACAAATTTTAACTGTTTTTAAGAAAAATTTATAATACGTGTCTTTATTTTATAAAGGACTTAAATCGAAATTTTAACTCTAATCTACTCATATACAAAATATATCAAAGACCAAATGAAATAGTTTAAGTATAAACGGCCTTCGGGAAAAGGCAATAATCATCAATAATATGTTTGTTTGTTGCAGTAAGGATTACAACCAAACAAAAAAATGTAACGCCTTACCTTGAGACAAAACATTCCATTGCATAACTCGGATGAGAGTATCTGAAGTGTTTTGGGAGGAATTTTTCACATTTTTGAATGATCGAGTAATTTTGGGAGGAAGACAAGAAAGTTCTTCTTGACAACGCAAGTGCAAATCCTCCCATGTCGATACATTCTGCAGAAGTAAGTCATTGTCAGCTGTATCATCGTTTAAGATTTTAGGCGCTGAGGTGAAACTACCCATTCTAAAAATAAAAAAAAGAAACATAAATAAATTACGTAAACATAATGAATATTTTCATAGTAAATCAATTCCATTTCAAACAAGCTAATTTTTTCTGCTCTATTTAGAAAACAAAATTGCTGTTGGGTTAGATAAATAAATTTTTACAAAGTTATTTGCGTTTATCTTTATTTTAATAGTTGTTCAAAGAGATCTAGCGGTTATTAGTTTACTTCTTTTATATTAACGTTAACCCTTTGACGCAGAATATTTAATAAACATATTTTTCACACTTGTTTAATTATTTTGTATCAATTTAGATCAAAAGGAGTGAAAACTATTATAGTATTTGGCATTTTAATAATTTATGGCGATCAAATACAACATGGAACACTAGTATCTTTTTCAGCCTTAAAGGTAAAATCTTCCAAACAATAATTTTTCAAATTTCCTTTTATTTGCAGTTATTTAGATCTAAGAAAAACAGTTATTCATCATTGAAATTTCTTAAATTTACAAAATGAATTATTGATAAATTTTTGAATTTGAATTAAAAAAAAGTAACACCACTGAACTGTGCACCGCGCCACGAAATATACACATTACATGTCAGTAAACTGATGTTTGAATTTTCTTACTCAAACAACAATATATTTGGAGATTTTTCGAGCATTATAAATAAAAAGCAATCGAGCTATAAGACGTATTAAGCACATTCAAAATATTCTTTTAGTGGTATTAATGGTTATCAGACAGAATCACGCTGATGTTGGCTAAATGCGACGCTCGTAACGACAGAGTTAACTAGAAGAAATTTAAAAAATTAGTAAAGTACCTATCTGGTCACAGTGATAAGGAATAGATTGACATAAAATTTTTCCCCTTGCAAAAAGCTTGGCTTACACTGGCTAAAGTCCTTCATGTAATAAATTAAGTTTAATATACTAGAATGGGGAGAATCGCACAAGAGCCTGATGCAGTTATGCTTTTTATGTGTTCAAAGCAACTAACCTGCGTAAAAATGGTAAACTGCATTAAAATCTAACCAAAGAAACAAAATTAAAAAGTGTTAGAAAAATCGTCAGTCGCAAAACCATAAGTGAAAGGGACAACTATAAAACGGGCACAAGGGCTTCTTGGGGGTCGTGGAATCGTTATTTATGTATTTATGTGAAGAATATAAATTGATAAAAAGTTATTTTATGAATTATTTTTAAAGAGAATTAAAAAAATTGAGCAAAAAACAAACAATTAACAAATCAAACTAAATTTGTTAACGCTCAGAAAGTGTGCAGTTTCAATACTTTTTAAATGCTTCCTTGACTGCGAACGAAATTATTATCGAAATATTTTGAAATAACAGTTGTTAAAATTTTTTTCCTAACAATCTCAGATAAGATTTTCATTAAAATGCTTTAATTGATATATTTTTATAATTCAGATGCTTTCTATATTGTTTAATTAAGTTAAAGAAAATATTTTTTGCGTGTGGTAAGGAATATTATTCCCTAATCCCCCATTCACATATAAAAGATTTCATTTGAGAATTTTATGACAGAATCCTCCACAAATTAAAATATAAGATTTCGGGAAATAAAGATTAGTTCCATATTTCATTCTAATACTAATAGATGATTTGGTAAAAAAATCAATCAACATCAATGGAGCTACGACATTATCTTTACTACAGAAGATAATAATTTTATTGTGTCATTATAAGATAGTTACTCTCGATGAAATTATAATAGCTTTTAAATATTCTGTATTTTAAAGAATTACGTATCAAATTACGGTAAAAAGTACCGCCACTCAAGCTGCCGGTACTTTTAGTAGTAAGATCTATTTCTTACCAGAACATGATATGGAACAAAAAATCTGATATACCATAATTTTTACAGAGTAATCACCATAAAATCACCGAATTACTCTAATTAAACAAATATTACTATAAAAATTACGGTGCATATTTTTACTGCAATAATTACTGTAAAATCGCTGAATCACTCTAATTAAACAAATGTTACTGTCGAATTTAATTTTACTGTAAAATGGATGTTACGGATGAGGCACACAAAGTGCCGGTACTTTGTGCCGTAATTTGATCCATAATTTTTTAAAGTGGGATTTTAAAAAAAATGGGAAAAAGTTTTTGTGAAATAACATACTTCAGAAAATTTTAAAATTCAAAAATGAAAAAAATAAGGACTTCCTTTAATCGGTCATTGATTGAGCAGTTAGTTCAATGTCGATGACCGTCAAAAAACATATAGCAAAAATAACCTTCTCAATCAAACGACCACGCCTAAATTTCCCACGTTCTTTATTGGCCTTGATCTCCTCAACAGGTAAAATTGACAACTGAAGACCATGAAAAACTGAGAGATAAGTGATCTTAAGTTCAGTTAATCTTAAATATGATCTTAAATTGCCGAGTTTCATGCATATTTTACGTATGGATCTGTATGATTTTAATGGAAAAAGCGTGAAAAACAGTAACACAACAACGACAACAAACAAGAACATAGAGGGGAAAATAGTATTGCCACAACTTCTTGGTGCGACAAGTATATATTTTTACCAACCAGAATCGTCAAATGCTATGGCCAAATATATAAATTATTTGGTGGAGGCATAATATTGCATAATACAGAAGAAATGCTATATTTTTGGTTATATGGTGTATGCAATTTCAAAACCACAACTTTAAAAATGAATTTTTATACATCAATGAACTCAGGACTACAACGAAGTTTTTCCTGTACATAAACATAATATAGTCCATACACTGTAAAGAAAGTTCCTGAAAATGTACGGCAAAAAGTACCGGGTGTTCCTAATGTTTACCGTAAATTCAATATTTACTGTAAAAATTTTTGATTGAAAAATTAGAAAAATCTGAGTGAACAACCGAAATTTAAACCCAAGAATCCCCTTTGAGATGCAAACGCATCATCAGGAAGAAGAGAGAAAAGCTACTCTGGCCCTTTATTGGCATTTATGGATATTACTGTTCCTGTATACCTTATTGTAACAATTTATTAGTACTGCAGAGTTACTTTACGACAGCATTTACAACAAAAAATAATAAAATTAATATTTGAGTTTTTCACATTGTAGTACGACTATTATGAGAAATATATTGCTTGTAGTTTCATCAACGTTTAAAATACTTGAAAAAAAACTTTTTTAATTATATTTTTGTGCAAACAATGTATTATATATCATCCTCAGCATTCTTTATCAAGTTTTTGTGACACACAATTAAATTTTTTTGTAGAAAATATGCGGCATTCAATTACGCATGTATTAATTTTTAAAAAAAAAAGTTTAGGCAATGTTATACTAAATTATTTAAATTTATACACACCATTTATATCCAATTGTTGCTTTCATAATCTATGTCAAGGATTCTAGATAGTTTTAAATGTATCTAGATAGTTTTAATGTATTTGTAACAAAACAGAAAAATTTAAATATAAATAACTCTGTCTCCCGGTTATGAATCAAACTTAAGCAAGGAACCATAAAATTGGGGGTGGAGATAAAAAGCTGACGGGTTTCGTTGTTATCCACCCACATCTAAAAATCGAGTTCATTTATTTATAACAATTGCAATAGCTATATCAGTTTTCTTTAACTAGATCACCTTCACCGCTAAATGATAAGCGTATTACACTGTCTTAGTAAAGGTCGCTTTCTTTATAATGCAAATTTGAGATGAATATTTCAAGGCAAATTATTTATACTAAAAAACAAAGTACTCAGAAATTTTAAGGAAATATAAGTATGTAAGTACGCGTTTGGTACTAAACTGATTCATGTAAAAACAGATTTAGATATATAATACGCAGTTTTATTCCAAACATGTTTTTTTTTTGTCTAGGGTATACATTCTAATAAGAAACTGGAATAAGGAAAAGAAAATCCATGTTAAGTAAACATGGATTTAAGTCGGAAATAGTTAACTGAATAGTTTGTAAACGTGCTAAAAAAATAAACAAATAAAGAAGATCAGATTTTCAGCTTTTACTTAGCTATGAAAAACTTTGTTATGTTTACTTTGTTATGTTCTTATGAAAAAATTGGAAAATAATCAACAAAGGAATTCCCAATTTTATTCAAACACACATTTCTACACTGTAAAAAATAATTATAAATTCGATAGGAAAAAAATATTTATCCCCGAAAAAAACTGTTTAGAAACAAATACAGATTCTTTCTGTTCCTTTTTGAAAATTTTTTTACAGATTTTTTCCGTACATTTGACTGTTTAAAACAGTTTTTTTTTCACGAAACAATTTTTTTCAGTTTTATGTCCTAATCATAAATGGATTAAATCTGTCAACTCAAGTTCTAGTTTTTTTCACGCAGTCCTGCTTACCTTAAAATGACTTTATCCTTTTTTCTTTTTTTTTCAAATCATTTAACGACTATTTTCTATGCTTGCTCTTAGTTTTCAAAAATTATTTTATGGTTTTGAAGATTGTAAATAAAATTGCGATTCAATTTCATTGTTGAAACGATACTCTACCTGATAATTATCCGTCTTTCAGTATAGTTTCTCGGTAAGTTAAATTGCCAGACATTTTTATAAAGGAGGGCCAAACCAGATTTAGACGGTTTTACACTTAAATACAATTTTAATAAGTAAGACTTAAGACAAAGATAGTTTAAGATTTTTTTCGTAAGCAAATGTTAGAGTCACCGTGGCTCGGGGGATAGAGCACTTGCTTCACAATAAAGTAATTCAGGTTCGATTCCCTTGGTCGACCGGTCATGCGATTTCTGCACTTGACTCGCACCGACCACAATGCTGTCTTAGTTATTTCTTCGATTTTATTTTGTCAAATTAACAGTACTTATCTGTTTAAAAAACAGGCATTTGTTTTTAATTAATAGTATTTATCAGTGAAATAAACGTTTTTATACTGGCACATGAGCTGACAGTTTTTTTCCCCTATAAATCTAAAAGATAATTTTTTATAGTGTTCAATGAGTAAAAAAAAAAGAAAAAAAAAAAGG